GTGGGTCTTGGCTAGCTTCATCGTGACTTCCATTGCCTCGGATCCTAGAATGCAAGCTAGTCAAAGTCTGCCGGAAAGGGTGATAAGGTAAGGTTCAAGGTATGTGAAAGTCCTTACCAGATCCGCACAAAATTGCCTTGCCCATGTGCCCATGCGTCGATTGAACTAACAACGAGGCAAGTTCTTCCGCTACTTTCGTCTGGTAGAATCCAGGGTGACAATAGGGGATATTCAAGAGTTGTTCAATAACCGCTAGCTTCACTTGTTGATTATCGAACCCAAGGCACGAGACAGCAGCCCCAGAAGTGGCGTCGAGTATTTTGCGACCATCCTCGGTTTCGAGGTAGATGCCCTTTCCCGAAGTAATTACCAGAGCAGGATTCTTTTCAAAGTGTTTGTATAAAAGGCTATGGGTGGCCTTTTTCCCGTTTATGTGGACTGGATCCTTCATGATGCAGAGATGTGAGAATTGTTGGCTGTGTCAATGATTCTGAGGAGGGTTTATGACTCTGCAGTGGTGACGAGGAAGAAGTGATTGGGAAATTGAATCGGGACGATGGGAAGGCCTTGGCAAAGTTATAAGACGTTTATTACAGCTGTTGATGCCCGGGGCCTGTGTTAAAGATCTTGCTTCCGATATTCTCACCTTACCAATGTTAACACTAAGCATCACCAGTACTCTTTTTGATACCCTTTGAAGGGGCCCATACCACTGCCATTCATGATTCTTGTAGTACTCTACTAACGAATCTAATAATATGCAGGAAACACTTATCTTCCCAGTTTGCCAACACATTTGTTGCACCGACGATGGCTTGGACGAGGTATCTCGTACTCACCCAGAAGGTGCAAGGCGCACCTCGATTGGGAACAAGACATTAGTGTGGTGCCGATATCGTCCGATGTGAATGCTAGAGGACAAACCCCATGACAGGACTTTGTGCAACATCAAGTTCATTGCTTTAGTGAGGGGTAGGGCATTCCACTTCCAATCGTAGACGATTACTGCATATACCTACTTTTCATCGTCATCGTAGTGTACGGACCGAGGCTCATACTCAATCACAAGCCTTTGCCGTCTTCAGCCTCTCGGTAGTCATCTGCACAAGAGTGGCTGTTGTTGCACAGTTGTTTCTCTCGACTAGCCTTGCAAGCTATCTGTGGCTAGTGTGCTCTCACCCCACTCACGTCATGAATGTTCCATACGTTGAACACATCTTCAACGTTTCCGAAGTCATTGGTTCTGTGCTCCACCTCCGGGAATATCTCTTTCCCAACATCTCCCGCGACACGGTAGATGTGGAGATAACTGCGCCAACCCAAGGAACAACGAATGGCGTAAGTTATCGATGGTTAAACGAAACGTCGCCGTCAGACAGTCGCTCAAGCCCCAAAAGTTGTACATGGTAGCAGTACGCCTGAGCGGTCCGGCAGCGATCCCCAGATCCGAGAGTTCGCTGGTGACAATCTACGACGATGGCACTGACATCATCATTGACCGACCGAAAAAATAGGACCACACGTTCTACCATACACTGATGTCGCACACTGACACTCCTGACCCGTCAACAAACAGGAGAGCTTAAGCTTCATGGTATTCCTTTTTGTCACAGGCTTGCACCATCGCCTCTGGTGCGCTTTCCGAACGACCATGCCTACCAGTATCTGGAAGGTAACGGCTGCTCGATTGACGAAATAACAAAAGAGGTGGTTTGGCGCGTAGTCGTGAGGGGACCTGCGACGTGGCATGCGGTACTTCCTCGCTTATCTTCCGGTCAGGACGGAACCCGACCCGGCCTTTGGTCAACGGCTCGGAAGTGGTTGAATGCGTGTCCGACACCACGAAATCCCACACTTATCTCACATGATCGATCCCTCAAACTCACACCCCAAAAAATGAAGAACCGATACACTCTGAAAAGGATCGGATGTTGCACCTAACGGAAGCTAAGCGGGGAGGGAACTGGTGGAACATTGGTCTAAACAAGAATCATCACAAACCTTTCGTCCGCGACAGATCCCGATCAGAAAATGGTATTCTTTGACGTCATGCCCCTCAAACTGCAAACACCATGTTACATGAGTTGCAGAATATGGGCCCCCTTCAAGTTCCACTTCCATCAGGAGGAACCCACAAGCGGCTTCTTTGAAGACCGTCATTTCAGCGCCTCCAAAGTTTGTCATAAGACACACTTTGTCGACGGAGGCGGCGGAAATATCAATAGCATCTTCGACAAGCCTGAAGCCGTTGATCATCATGCGTAAAAATAGACTCATAGCATACGGCGACACTGTCTTGATTGTGGATTTGTATCTTGGCGCGCCTGAGTTTAGCAATGCCCTTGCAGGCCTTCTCATGACACTGTTAGTAAGCTATTCTGCCATTAGCTTCTTGCACACCTTAGTTGGCGATACCGGCAAAGATGGCTTTTGGCAACGTCCGTCGAGGTTGTAGAAATGTGTGCGTACCTTACCTAGGCAGTGTGAGAGGTCACGGTACGTCCGTGCAGACGGCCATCCATGATTTGGATTGTAGAAATTTGCTGCAGAAATTTGCTCTTGCCAGGAAATGCAAAGATTTGCCAACCTCCACTCTAACAAAAATAGCCCCACCAAAGAATCAGATTCTTTACGCTTTGGAGATCATCAACACAACCGTCAAAATGTGGGAGTTGCTTCCCAATGAGTTGAGACTCCAAATCCTGGAATATCTCCTTGCCCTGAAACCTGAACGCTTAGCCCCATACACCACGTTCTGCCGACCATGGCAACACCGCATCGAGCCCATCCTATTCGAGGAAGTCACGCTCTACGTGACAACCGCCAATATTTTGTCAGGCAAAACGACTCCATCAACACTCGCTGACATCGTCCGTGGTCCAAGGATACAGGACCTCAAAAAGCTGAGCATTGTCATAGACTTTGATCCATCAAGTTCCACCATCGTCACGGATGGCCCGAGGCGCCAAATGCAACTCGGCGCTGCCTTTGCGGATTTCATCGACGGCACCATCGACGCGATGCGTGGCTGGAGACGCGACCAAGTATATGTCCATCTTGAGATCCACGAGAAGCGATCGTGCGGCCATCATCTGATACACTACGGAAGTAAGCTCGCAGATCTGCAGGGGAAGACCATCGACTGCGTGCGGTCTATTCGACACCTGGAATACATCGTCGATAGATGTCGCTGCTGCTCTTTTAGAGGACTCCCAGCAATGATTTGCTCGACAATTTCGACAGATCCGTTGGTTACCGAGTACGGATTCGATAGGCGTGAAATCAGCAATCCGGCGATGTTCAAGGAGGAATTCGATTAATCGATTTTCTTACTTAGGGTTGAAGTCGCTTACTGTGAGAAACATGGCCTCGAGCGGCTATGATCCATATGATCGAACATACGATCGATTTTATCCGTGTTCTTCGTCAATTGTCAAACTCAGCCAGAACTTGGAAACCTTCTAAACCTCAGATCCCGTTGAAAATATCTTGGGTGGTAATTTTCCACGGTGGCCGAACCTCAAGTCCCCCTCCATGACATCAACACGGCTGAGAGACTTTGCATACAATGCCCAAGCTGAACTGGATTGTATGGCAGAGGTCGCCCAGAGAATGCCACAACTGCGACGGCTCGAATTTTGGTGCATCGGAACCAATCGCGCGCACCTGGACAACGCGGGCCGCCAACTTTACACAGTGAAAGAAAACAGTGCTCATCTTTCATAGCAGGCTGGCGGGACCTTCAGTTACCGATTACGCATATCTCCTGGGCGCAAGGTGGCTAGCCTTCATGGCAAGGCGCTAAACATCACAAGTTCCGGGTTGGAACATACTGATGGGAGCGATCTGTATCTTTACATAAAGTTGATGGAATTCTTCGAAACGGGTCTGTATTATGGGAAAGAGGTGCAGAAAGACGAGTAAGAGACACTGATCGACATGAGACCGGACTAGCGAGGTGAGATATTGATATCAACGACGGATAATTGCAATATTCTGAAGGGCCACAAGTTGCTAGGTCGTCGGCAGAAATATTCGATACGTAGTCACCGAAAAACTAAGAATAGAAGTAAATATCATGAAGTTAATAGCTCTGTACCGAAAATTCGTCTCCATACGACGCTCGAATTTATGGCGTAGTTGTTAGCGATTTGTGTATGAAAAGGCTTCACCCGAGTTGTGTGACTGAGCTATCACCAAGGCTTACAGGCCGGACACGTTGTTCAGGTGATAGCAGACGCAGCATGTAGATATTGCCAAACTGGTGGCCGTTTCTATTTTTTGCAAGTCTACATTTACATTGTGCCTGATGTTGGTGTCGTGAACCGTCAGGTCCACATCAATGGCGCCCGGAAATAACCCTTTTGTCCCGGAACTTTGCACACCATCAGGGTGAAAGCGAGAACATGGGATTCCATGTGAATTATGAAGATGAGTAAGGGGCGCTTATGGCCGAAGTCAACCTTGAGAACAGCGTCATCCTGGTGTCAGCCTTTGGCGCGGCAACTTCATGTCACCTGCGACTTCCTCAAACCTCCTCATTCCCGATCTGCCTGCCTGGCACTGTGCTTTCCACATGGAGGCATGCATGCATCTCGATAAGTTAAGGTACCTAGGTAGGCAGGTGCTTGCCTTACGTAGGCTGCATCCTCTGTCAATGGCAGGTACTACTGCCATTCCTAGCACGGAGCGCTACGTCTGGTGCTTTCTGGAGTAGGTGCAGGTATATGCTCCTGCCTCTCGGGCTAGATGCTCTTGCTTATCTAGAGATGTCACCAGTCTGTCAGTCTAGAACGAGGAAGGCGACACCGACAGCAGCAAGTGCGAAATGTGACGTTAACTGCCAACCAGAGAACATTTAAGTAGCCGTCCGTCCCGGCACCTCAGCCATCTTTTGACTTCAACCAAACAACATCACGTTCAATAGGCATCCGTCCCGGCACTCCACGCAATCTTTTGGCAGCTCCAACCACACAACATCGTCTCAACGTCAACGAAACATGAAGTTCCCTACTTTCATCGCCGCCACCATCCTCCTCGGCCTGGGCGCCAACGCGTCTGCCGTCCCCGACACCGACGCAGCGATGGCCGCCGGCATTGGTGGAAATAAGCACTACGGCGTAAGTGATACCCTCAGCAGCCTCGACACACAGCCGGAGTGACCACTGACACCGACTGCCAGAAATGCCTCGCCGGCCCGAATCAGTGTGTAATCAACCAGAAGCACGGAGAGCAAAGAATTGACTGCAGGAAACCGGTATGTGGACCCTTCGAACCCCTTCCTTGCGAGATTCCCTATCCTGACTTGCGAAATCACCAGTGTTCAAGAGATGGTGCGCGCTGCAGAGAGGGACGTGTTCGTCACCAGGCGCATTGCTGGTGAGCGACCAGAATCTCTCATCAGACCTGGCTGGCCGTCTACATGGGGCGTTGGCAAAAATATTGGAATGCATGGAGAGGTTCGTGGGAAGGCACGACAACGTGGCTGGCGTTTTCGAAAGGAAACACTGCCCTATCCAGCGCAGGATGCAAGGGAATTGGCGGAAGAAGGGAAAAGTGCTTTGAGGCCGGGTAGGCATGCTGAGTATTGATAAATGGTAGCTGAATAAAAACATAATACGTCCTACTCCAAGCCAAGCCCAAATGCTCTTTCCTGGCATCACGAATCTATCCTGATAGCAAAGGTTGCGTTTCCGTATCCCCGTGGTCTGGTGTTGATCTAGTTTGAGTAATCCACAGAAGCATGCCCTGAACGATAGAAAACAGACCATTGTTGACCACTGGCCATCCAACCAGACGATACCATCCATCGTAAGAGGGTGAGTACGGAGGATACCTAACCCGGACCATCCACGAAATTGCCAATGCCGCGAAGACAACGGTCTGCGTGGCGAAGCCTGGCACACTGGTAGCCCCAGGGCTTGGCTGGCGCTGTATCTCTCGAGCTTGCGGGATGGCAGAAGCGAGCACGAGTATGCTCGATACGGGGAGCAGGATGAGGTAGTGCCCCATGACAAAGAGGTCACGGCCCCAATTTCTCGGTTCGGAGCGCGAGTCCGGGAAGATGGCGTCGAAGATGGCCGGGACGAGGGAAATCAGGATGAAAACCACGTAGATGACGCCGACGCTGTACCGCGTGGCTTGACGGCTGGTGTTTGATGCCGAGTAACGAAGGCTTAGAAACAGTCTGCCCACATGTTAGCCACCCGACGTCTTCAAGAAGCAAGGGATGCTTGGGGGTCTGCTTACAGAAAAAGAGAGCACAGCCAGACAACAACAAGCTGGATGAAGTTGAGCCAGTCGCCTGCTGTTGCGGGGTCGTTGACAAAGGCATCGCCCCGAAGTCTGCCCGTGTCGTTGACGTTGAGGAAGAAGCCAAGGGTGAGCTGCTCCGTTGCGCTGATGAGATTGAAGAGGACGTAGTACAATGACAGACCGTCGCAGTGGCCCTGCTCGAGGATGCGGTGGTACTGAGGAAGGTACGATGTGATGGTTGCGATGCTCAAGGCTCTGAGGGAAGTCAGCATTCGCCCCGGGTGCAGTATGGGAGGTCTCGATGTTGCCCCCGAGGCAAAGGCGATTATGAGGATAGGTGACTCACACTCTGGCCCAGTTTGGTAGAATATTTGGCACCATGGCTTCCCTATTCTCGCGGTCAGGGTCAAAAACGGCTGCTCGAGTCGAACCAACGGGCGGGGAATGCGACCGACGGCGGTTGAGTGAGACTAGCGGCGGTCGATGGCTTGTCCAACGAGCTTAGAAACGGCAATCGCACCGCAAGAGATGATAGCCTGAACGCAATAGACAAACAAAGATCCAAAGTTGGCTGCCTGTCGCGAGGCAAAATATTCTCGTGATGGTGGTTGATCCTGTAGGATTCTTTCATTCCGCCACGTGGGCGGGCGAATCAGAGCAACTCCGCCAAGAAGTCGGGGAACCGGTGATCGGCGGGTCGTTTACCTCTCTCGAAGCTCGCATTTCTCCAACGAGATCAAGATTCATCACGGACAAGTAGAAGGATCGCGATTTGGACGGTGGTTATCTGACAGAACAATGGCAGGTGCAACGAGACCTTGGATGGTCGTGGTCGCGAGTGCCCCGCTTCGGCTGAGCAGGGGACAGGCTTTGAAGCGATCGTGGAAGAAACACCAAAAAACATCATCACGAGTCAAGTCAACACGAGAGAAATGTTGCGTTGCATAAGCCGTACGCATTATCGGGCTACCTATTAAAGACTGCTGCATAATCTGCCCTATGACCACCTCGCGAAGCCACTGATACAATTAATCATCTCTGCAAGTCTGAATCTCTCTCTGCCCGTCCGTCTCGAAAACCTCAAAAGTCCTTGTCTCAAACCACTGATACCACTCCAGAACCTGACCGAAAGAACCCAAGCGGGAACCCCATCTGAAAGAAAGAACCGAATCTCTCTAGGGGTAGATCTGCCAGGCGCCGTGGGCCTTGTTGCCGAACTGCTCCTCGAGGTCGCAGCCGATGTTGCCCCAGCCGCGCATGCGACCGTGGGTGTTGTCGAGGTGCTCGATGGCGCCCTCGAGCAGACGCTCAATGTCCATGTTGCCGATGACGCTGAAGTAGCGCGGGCCGTAGGCGAAGTGGCACGTCTGGTACTTGATGATCGGGGTCAGGTCGCCGACGCGCGCGGCGCGCACCTCGTCCGCGTTGAACATCCAGAACTTGCGGTGCTCGCGGATGTAGATCATGAGCGTCTTGCAGTCCTCGATGAGCGCCGAGTCCTTGTGCGCGCCGCCCATCCAGATCGTCTTGCCGTTGCAGCGCTTGGAGGAGCCCAGGGGCGTGATGACCTGCTCGGATTTGCCGCCGAGGGTCTTGACCTCGGACCGGACGTTGCCGTTGACCTGGAAGGTGGCGTTGTTGCCGTTCTTGTTAAGGACGGCGACGTCGACCCAGGTGACGTGGGCGGGGTCGTCGGTAGGGGCCTTGGGCTCGGTGGCGTTGGCCTCGACGAGCTTGATGTTGCTGTAGTCGGGGGTCTTGAAGGCGTCGGCGTCGATGTCGTTGTCGCGGCGGTCGAGCTCGCCGGAGGGGAGGTTGGGGTTGCGCCAGAAGAGGCTGAACTCGCCGTTGTGGATGGGCCTGCTTCCGTCGAGAATGCACCAGACGCCCATCTTGCCGGTGACGCCGCCGTCATCTGTGTTGCACTCCTCCCAGCGGATGACGTTGTCCACGAAGCGGAGCATGTCTCTGTTGGTGACGACGATGCCGGGCTTGGTGGTCTTGAACATGATGCCGCAGGTGCCGTGGGCAGCGAACTTGGCCCAGTAGCCAACGTCGCGGTCCTTAAACTTGACGCGGGCACTGTTGTTCTGGACGAACTTGGCGAGGCGCTCGCAGTCGACCTTGCGAGGGATGTTGGACTCGGACCAGGAGGATGTCAGCCAGGTGGGCTTGCAGTAGGGGCCCTCCATGTCGCCGCCGGTGGTGAGCAGGAAGCGCTTGGCGAGGGTACTGTCGCCGGCCGTGTTGTTGGCGAGGGTGCTGTTGCTGGCCGTGACGTTGACGAGGGCGCCCAGGTTGGTGTCGATGGGGATTCTGTCGTTCATGATGTAGGCGGACGTGTCCTTGGGGATCATGTCGGCCGTCTTGACGACGAGGGGGCCAAGGGCCTTGGCGTCACGAATGTCGAGGGCGTTGTCGCCGGCCAGGGACTCGGTGGCGGCGCGCTCCTGGAGACGCCAGAACATAGGAGCCCAGCCAAGCTCGCCGTCGACAACGGCGCAGTCAGCTTCACTAGAGGCAGAGAGGCGGCCATCGACAGTCCAGGCGCGGCGGTTCAGGGCGCTCTCGAGGAAGCGCGTGACATCGGCGTTGCTGAAGACGACGTCGCGGTTGAAGGTCTGGCTGCGGAAGGCACAGGTTCCGACCCAGAAGACCTCGGCCCAGCGAGAAAGGTCGACGTCGTGGTCCTCGAAGTAGACGAGGGCATTGTGGGCCTTGACATAGTCGTGGAGGGCCTGGCAGTCGTCGCGACGAGGCATGCCGGCGCCGGCTCTCTTGGTGGCGCGGATGGTGCAGAGCTCGGCGTAGCCCTTGGCGGGCTCGATCTTGATATGCTTGGCGAGGGCCGGGGAAGACTTGTTGCGCATGTCCTCGACCATGGCGAAGCCCTTGCCGATGTTGAGGATCACGTCAGAGCCATTGGAAGCCTTGAACGTGATCTCGGTGGCGGCGACGGGGGCCTGGTGGGAAGCACTGGCGACGTCGACGGGGATGACGACCGCACCGGCTTGGGCGGCCAGAACCGCGATGGGAGCGAGAGCTTTGCGCATCGCGAGATTGGGAAATGGTGATGCTTGGAGTGAATTGACTTGGAGGAAGCAACGAGAGGAGGAGATCCCAAAGGAGAAGAGACGCAAAGAGCGCGAATCGCAGCAAGGAGAGGCGTGATTGGGATGAAAATTTCCTTCCAGGGAGACGCGAGGCCCTGAGCTTGGTGTGGAAGAAAATTGAGAGTGGTGTGGGAGGAGGAGAAATTTTTGCTGTGTGGCCTTGGGAAAGGTGAAAGGTGAAGGTGAATCGGGGCTGAGGGGGGTGGTTTGAGGGACGCAGGGCGGCACCACCACAACACAATATTCGCTTCTTTTTGGCTGCAAAAGAATGAGAAGGTCACCAGGAAGCGTATGAAGACTTTTTCGAGGGAGATCTGGAGGAGATTCAGGCAGATGAAGACTCGAAGGGCCAGGCTGAGCTATGTTGTGTTCGTTTTCAGGGGCTGCCAAGACCTGAGGCGAGGCAAGGTGAGAAGCAAGGTGAGATGCGTCGATGTTAGGAAGCCACAACTGGAAGAGATTTTCCCACTTCCTTCTGAACTCAGCTGGAGGTTTTACCTTGCGCCATGAAAACTCTGAATATTGAATATCAGTATCGTGGGCGTGGGCGTGGGCGTGGGTGGTGACGCGGGTCCTAGGGTTCATCCCGTGCGGCTGGTGATGGTTGCATGCTGGTGCGGCTTGGTGGTGATGAGGTATGGGCCCGCTTGAAGACTCAGTGTTCAGTTGATCACATGGCAAAGGGATGTGCGTGCTACGCATGGTCACTTGGGACCAGCAGCAAGGAGGCGCATAATAAGCCGGCAAAAGGATGTGAACAAGTTGGATGTGCGAGGTACAAAGCCACCCATGGATACTTATGCATCCAAGACCAAGTCAATCAAACTCCTGGATTCATGGATCAAAGCTGAGGCCTGCATCGGAAGAAGAGTTAGTGTTCATGCAAAGTAATAATTGAAGCTGAGTTTACGAGCTAATGGGTTGAGTATAGAAGTCGAGATGCTCATCACATTAGATGTGTAGGTTTGAAATTGAAAACAAAAGAGTTGGACAGGGCTTTTTAGACTTCCACAGC